TTGGCTGGCTTCTTATTAGTAGTAACTTTGTGATTAGCTCTTTTCATTTTTCCTACCTGTTTTGAGTCGTGGACGATGAAGAAAGCAAATTGACAATATCAAGCCTCTAATTTCGGTAATTATACAACTTTGAGGTTAATTAAATGCGCATGCGCATGCCGAATAATTAGAAAATACGAACGCGAAACGTCACGCACAGGGCGTGTTAGAAAACGTGGGGGTTCGAACAGAGCTGTTGTCAGCAGTATACCAAATTTGACACGTGGGGTATTACTACTTTTAAAAACAAATTAATACGTATGAATATTCTATTTAATAGAAACATAGCGCTATAAATATACAGCGGTCACGTTCATAAGAATGGCAGCAAAGGAATCCTCTACGATAGTTGGGACGTTACTATATTCAATTTACATAATGTTTTTTATATTCAACCACAATTTTTATTGTTTTCCTTTTTTGTTTTCAAACACATTATATATGGACAGGTCACAGTACACTATGTATATTAGGGACACTACACTTACATATAGATACAGCTACCAATAAGAAATTCAAATTTGCACTTTGACAATAACGTCAGACTAAAAAAAACACAATAGATCACGAAAAAATTATGAGGTATTTCAATGTCTAATACAATTTAAGCCTATAAACATCTATGATGTTATATACTGTGTATATAGAGTTCTATGTGCGTGAGAGGGAGGGTAATTACGGTTAGACTAAAAATGACTTGACAGGTTTCAAATAAATAGGCCTATGAATACGTAGAATTCTGTTTGTTTTTGCATTTATAACTGCATTGCTCTTTAAGACAAGGAAGAGAATCTTAATCGCCACCTTTTCATTATTTGCATTTGTAATTTTACAAAACTACTTACAAGATTTAATTTGGCTAGAATGTTTCGTATACTATCGTTGACATTGTGAAAGACGCATGTCAGGTCATTTCATGGACATTATGCGAGATCCAAACCACTGAAATTTACTTTGATGGCACACAGGATACGTTCAGGTAGTCTTCTCATCAGTGATTCTAATGCACCAACCAATCATTGAAGTGAATACGGCTCTTACCAGAATACTGTACTTGCACTTGTTTGCACTTATACTTAAGTATACAAGCAATTATTTAAAAATTAAAAAATGGGTTCATGGCCATACTATTCTTTCTGACACTCGGACGTAATGTTATTTTATTAATGTGTTTAACTATAAAATAATTCGAGTCTGAAAAAAGTGTAAACTACGTAAAGAGATTCGGGCTACAAAATTAATTTTAAAATATTCTGAAGAGAGACAAATCGCAGGCCTATACGAGTAAAACGATTATTTACCAGAGATGAAAACTGGCCTACTGCAATTCACAAAGACCTCATGCTGGAAGGACTTCCTTTTGATTATGTATATCTACGTATTGCTATAAATTAAAACCTGTTTCTTGCATTATTTTACGTATATACGGTGAAAATGGCATACATCGTCTGCTCAGTCTTGGGCGCTCGTTTAAATTAATATTGTACGAAAATTGTATAATTTTAAAGACTTCTCTTTTTACGTATAACTGGTATTTAACTATATAAAAGAAATTCTTGGTTGCTGACAGCAATTATAATGATAGTTCTCAGACTCGCCTCTTTCAATATATTTCTCATATATTTAGATAAAAATATTACATTTCTTATTTCTTCCTCTTTCACCACCTGCCACATTATGCTAAAGAGGAATATTGATGAAGGTTATGCAGAAAGGCAATGGTGTTTTAAGTTCTGAGAACGCACATTAAGAAAAGCAGCCTCTAGTATTTATCTGTCTAATTAGTTTAGCCTAATACACGCACGCGCCACATGAGTTCTTAATAACGACAAGCCCGAGGACATCTCGGAACTATTAAAGAGGAACTGTACGCCCATGTGAGCGGGAGCTGCGCCCACAGCACCCCCGGCTACAGAGTAAACGTATATTTTTTATGTATTTTTGTACAATTACTACAAAACCACACTGACAATACTGTGTACTACGAAAGGTCACAGAGACATCTGTTTTCAGACTACAGACAAATGTACTATGCATTTTTACGTGACAAAACATGTGTTTTTTTATGTTTTTATTATCGAATGTGTTTCTTATTATATACGAACGCGCGCAAAACCACATGTTTTTCAATCGAGTTATGTTTAATATTTATATATTTATACATACCCTAATAACTTCAAAGTGTATATATATATAACTCGACAAGACACACAAGTATTTATATATATAGAATCTTTCCTTCCGAAAAAAAAAATACTTTTATACAGTGACGACGAAGAGATTTGCTTCATTTAGAAAACGAAACAATGTTATAAGATGACCGATGTTTCGCCTTTAAATAATTTTTATATTACAATATTTAAATGTCGGTCTTCTTGAATAACTTTGTTTATTTGAGTGTCACGTAATTAAAAAAACCTCAACACGAATAAAAATAAAATTAAACGGGGAAATTGTTTCTTACATTAAGCATGCAAGTCCGAATAAAATGTTAGTTATTAAGGATAAAATATTTAACACAGCACAAAATATTTATCTAATATCACCTATACACATTTTACAATTTCGGAACAAAATAAAAATGTATATTTATTACTGGTGTATAAATAAGTTATACTGCATGAAATTCGAAATATTTATAATAAGTATTACGTATACAATATCTAATATCTAAAAGATGCAAGAGAGCTGTTCTCATCTTACGTATTTCTTATGCTCAGTTCCAAAAGTACCACAATTCGTTGGGCCAAATTACTGTAGTCAAGCACATAATATAACTAGAATATTTATGCTCTTTACTTTACCAGAGGTTGCTTAGGTATACAAAATATCTCTTATATAACGTATTTAATTTCTGTATTAACAACAGACTCCTTCACTATTTACTTTTAAGTGTAGTAGTAAGGGAGAACCGAAAACTAACTGCAGAGACAGTGCAATTCATGCTGAATTTAGTGGAATTTCAATAAATGGTTTACTTATTACGCCTGATCAAATCCCATGCATTTAAATGTATCCATTTATGGAAACGTGAAATGAAATTCCCTTTCGGAGAGAAAATAATAACTTATACATTTTAAAATAAATTTTATTTCAACAGTTATAAATTAAGTAAGATTTGAGGTTTTCACGGCTGTGACTATGAAGAAAGTAGTCTTCTGATATTTGGCACCTTGTATATGTGATGTTAACCGACGTTTCGGAGGAACTTATCGCCTCCATCTTCAGACCAGCAGACCAGTCTGCTTTTACCGGTTCTTACGGTCTCTTCGCTTGCGGATTTCTTATATTTTTCCTTCTACCCTGAAGATGGAGGCGATAGGTTCCTCCGAAACGTCGGTTAACATCACATATACACGGTGCCAAGTCCTAGAAGACTGCTTTCTTCAGTTATTAATTAAGTTTGCCTACAGGAGCACTGAACTGTTTTTGTATCTAAATAATAAAACTAATATGCGCGAACAGGAATTGAGTTCAGAGCGTAAAATACGAAGATGAGAAGAGCAAAAATATAAAACGATTATATCTACATAACCTTTGGTATGATCGCTGATAAAACTAGAACACGATTTCTTGCTCTAAGACGCGGGTACAATGATTAAGAATACCGTCCCCTGACTCTCTTCATTGAAATATCCTGTAGAAATTTCCTACAGTGGAACTGTAGGCCTATCATGCTTGTTCTTGGGTGGTAAAGACTATCTCAAATAAAACATGTTCCGCCTCATTGCACATTAAGTATGACCACCAAAGTCAATAAATTTATTTCAGACTTCTGAATTGATGAATCGAACTTGCAATATGAAGACTGTGTTACATATAAATCAAGAACTGTTCTTATTGATTGTGGCCGAAATGTATTAAAAATTAATCTGTGACATAAGTACTTGTATAATATAAAATTAATTGATATATATATATGCCAGGTGAAACAATTAGTAATAATATTTATAACTCGTTAGTGTTCTTTATTTCTAACGAGGTCAAAGCATTATTGGCAGCTGCTTTGTATGACGGGTTCACAACAATACATTTTGACAATTTACACAAAATAGGACGCAACTTACAAAAAGGTCGTGTGAGATCTTTCATATTTTCGGATACTTAAAAATGAACCTCGATAACATATGGGCCTAATTTAGCATTGGTTTTAGGAGAATTTTGGTAGAAATCTTCTCCATATTAAACAAGTTCATCAAATCGTAAGTCAGATATATCAAGAGACGTGTAATATAAGTATATATTATGAAAATGACCTGAAATCTTAAATGAAAAGACTTAACATTTTTGTAACAGTGCATAAGTAAACATCAATATTACACGTTTCCTAAAGTGACTGTCTTGATATATATTATATTAACATTATACTTTAATTTGCCGACAATTTTCACTCCTTTACTGATCTATTGTTGGAAAAAATCTCCCAATTTACGCGAAGTTTTATTTACACCAGGGTTCTTTACCCTCTCACAAATCACAAATTTAAACTTACAACTTGTCTTCTACTGTAGTTTCAGTCATGTTTAATATTTGACACTTCCTTTTAGCACATGTTCACACACACTTCACGTCAATACACATTATGAGTGGTGACTAAAACATACGATTAATATCTATTAAGACACAAATTAGAAAGTTATCCATCTAAGTCATTTAAGAATTTGCGTCCTTTTACTTGAATTCTAGAATTTCACCAGTGTTAGTTATGCAGCAAAGTACTGTGATCAGGAAGCCGATTTAATATTTACTTTAGTAACTTTCCCACTTATAACTTGATTTCAAAGAGCACAGACCGTGACATATTTTAACTAACAGTGGTGAAAAGTTTTATCAGAGTCGATGATGAGCAGTTGGTATTGTTGCCTTTCTTTCTACTGTTTCTCAAAGTACTGTAGCAAGTCATCAATGGAGCTGAATGAATGTGTGTACAATATTTCTATCAGCTTCATTCCGACACTAACCTTTTGTTGTGGACGCTGGAGTCATTTCCAGAAGTTTGAGCTTGCTAGGTGATACGAAGTCCAGGATCTACAGGCGTTATTGATGATTTGGTATAATTCATATAATCACTTTGTGAAGAAGTCGGACTGCTGCTGTGCGATGTTCAGCTGATGGAAACTTCTGTATCGATGCTATATTTACTAAGCTGTGAAGTGGGATGTATTACACTTGAACAGGAGCACTTCCACTGGTAGTGTGATACTGAAAATTATTCACTGCTGTTGGCACTAAAATCTTCGATTATACTATTTATCATAACTTCTTGATTGCACTAAATGTTGAAAGAAGGGAGATTTGAAACATTCTGCACATTCAAGTAAGCAATTTCGGTTAGATCGCGCATGTAAATTACAGAACTTCTTGTGTTATTTGAAGTTTTAATTAATAACCTTATTGAACTGCAGGTGCTCAATGGGTGCAACATTCTTCTATCTTCCCCTTCTCTTGTCACTGATGACTGGACTCCACTGTGAAATCTACTTTTCTGCGGATTTTTATTCTTTCTATATATGTCATACATCCGAAATGGTGGGATACCTTACGTATGTCGATTCATTTCCAGTGTTTCTCTCACTTTACCGTTCTCTTTTTCTTTTTTGCATAAAGCTTTCCAATGTCTGTCATCAGAGCTTCATGTTTGGACTTCACATGTAACATGTTACTGGATACTGATTCATTTAAGTTTTTTTTATTTTATTCGATGTTGCTGAGATAATTATTATTTCTCTTCCTCAGGCCACGCTTAATGACCATCTCTGGAAAGGGTCATATAATTAGTCTCTCCGATCACAATCTCAGAGTTGGAATACTTAATCCACACTTTACCAGAAATACATCATTTGTATACATATTGACGATGGCTCCGTTCTTCAAAGGGATCTGTATTCTTAATTATCTTTCCATGAAATTACTTAAATAAAAGAAAGTGGGAAATTTTATCGAGAAATATATGTCGGTTATTTGTAATTATAGCTCTCTACTCTTATAGCCAGCCCATGTGTGGTGATGAGGGGTTTTAGTAAGACTATTTCGCCAGACTTCTGTTCCCTTAAATGTCTTCGAACATAAACTTTGTGAATGGTTTAAGTATGCAATAAATAACTTGAGGAATATCCATGTCGTGAAAATATTCAGGAATATCCATGTCGTGAAAATATTCAATCACTAAGAGAGCACAATGAACACACAAAAAGAGAGATTACGGAAGCGAAACCACAGGAATACAATTAACAACGAGGACGAAAAATTAATGGTCAATTCTTTAATAATTATGTTCCAGACAGATTGGCCTTCTTCGTGAGGTTACGTCCATGTACTGCTATTAATGTAGTTTTCAGATCTTCTTGGGATAATTTCAGTTGGCTCCATCAGAATATACTTATTCTGGTAAAATTCAGAAACTAAAACCCAGTCTCAAAGATGTATGAAGGGTTAGCATTTTCTCTTGAAATAAATGTCTGTGAGGAAAACAATTATTTTATTTTACTGCGGTGAGGTTTGCGGTGTTATGTCCGAGCCTGCATTTCCGTCACCATTTTGACCACCGTCTGGTTTAGATTTATTTTCTTTCTTCCACTTCATGCGTCTGTTCTGGAACCAGATCTTGATCTGCCGCTCCGTGAGGCACAGAGCGTGGGCTATCTCTATTCTTCGTCGTCTAGTCAGGTAGCGGTTGAAGTGGAATTCCTTCTCCAGCTCCAGGGTCTGGTACCTCGTGTATGTCTGCCTTCCTCGCTTCCTCTCTGTAAGAAACACAGAAAGAAGCGACCTTAAGAAAACGTTACATACAAGGAACTGAATATTTTGGACTCTATACAGGCATAAACACATAGACGTAATATATTTGCTCTTCCGTGAACGAAATCTGAAATGCATTGCCAAATAACTCCATGAAAAGAATGACATTCTATAGGAAATAAGCCATACAGGAAATATAAATATTATGCTTTTGGACATTATGCATCGTCCTGTTTTATCTAAAACATCGTCCAGTTTATATTTAGAAACAACGGAGATATGGACTAGCTCTATCGATTGAGCCCAACGGAGTAGATTTTACATGAAACGGAGACAGCATCCAGTCTCTGAAACGCTGTTTTGAAATTTAAACACGAGGGGGTTTTAAATAAAAACAGGACGATGGATAATGTGCAGAAACATAATATTTGTACTAATGCACCATTATCACAAAGAGCCGGAATAGAGTAGTCGGTATAGATACTGGCTATTGGCTGGATGATCGAGGGGTCGAAATTCGAATCCCAGTAAGGTCAAGAATTTTCTCTTCTCCACGTCATTCAGACCTGTGACCCACACAGTCTCCTATCCAATGGGTAGAGAGGGCTCTTTCCCCGTGGGTAAAGCGGCCTGGGCGTGAAGCTGCCCACTCACCTTCAACAATTGATGAGGTCACGAAAATATGGTTCTATACATCCGTCCCCCATACGCCTTCACGGCGTGGTGCTTAATTAGTTAAGCACGGGGACAAATTTATCTTTTATGTAATATGATTTCAAGTAAAATGTTGCCAAGTTATCTAACTGTTTAATTCTCTTGATCTGGATTCAAAACCCGTGCTAAATCACGTTTCCGTTTGGGTAACAAGTTTTTCAGAAGGAACTTAAAAGTCTTTGTTCACAGTTCGGATCGTAAAGCAACGTTTAACCTGGAGGTTCCGCAAAACGCTCCACTCGTGCTACATCAAGGTGGTAGAAAAACTGGCTCCATCAACTTTCTAATTCGCTTCTCACATGGCAAATCCCAACCAGAATCCCTCCAGACATTTTGATCACCTTAATAACATTACACTCGCACTCATGCATCCGTACGTGTACCTTCTTTTCGAGTACAGAGCCACATTAAAGTTGGGACTATAACAATAAATAGACTGGGAGAATGCAGGAAACAAGTAGGACGGACTGAGCAAGCTGATCAACTTGTAACATTAAGGACCTGTATTCGGGATATGTCCTGCTCGAATCTCTGCCGGGATGCCGACTATCAGGACTAAGCTTTTTGTGGTTTTCTCACTTCCTCCCTGAAGATTCCGGGATTGTGCCATGGCTGCTTCCTTCCAAATTCTTCCCAATTCATTATTAACTGCCATCCTACCATTCGACTTTGTATAGGTTGAGATACAGCCAGCTCCTTTACAATATTGTGACGCGTTTATGGTTCCGTGACCACAAGCAACGCGTTCTGGATTGGATGACTGGATTTATAAACACCTTCTTTTATAATTTATTTTAATCACAAGCAATTACAATAACTCACAATCGATCTTCAGCCGAACTCTCTTCCTTGACTGCCGATGACTCACTCTATTCTCATTCTCGTTCTACGACTGACTTCTTATTTATGACTGGACTACTTATATAATCTCGAGGCGTACTCGTAGAACACACATCCGTCGCCCAGCAATGGATATATGAGAACCGCAAAGAAAACACCTCTTCCTCTATTGTTGTATTTACAGCACACTGCATAGCAATGGATGTTATCCGATTGTTGCCTGCGTATTCGTTGTCGCGGGAAAGTGTTTCCCGAGTCGTTGCCCAGCAACGGTTCTACATGTCACAACACACATAATTCACTTCAACTTGAAAGTTTGCTTTAGTTTAAATTAACCAATTTCAATATGAAATTAGTCCATTCCATACTGAAACCGATTACAGATGGGAGGATAATATTAAAGAAAATCTGAAAAAAGTTGTGAAGGTGTAGACCGAGTTATCCGGCTGAGGACAGGAGCCACTGGCGAGTTTTCCTGACTAAAGCAGTGAACGTTCGGGCAATGTTAAACGCCGGGAATTGCTTGACGAGGTGAGCGACTATTAACTTCTCATGTCCTCCGATGCATAGTAACTCAATATCCATGAAGTCGACTTGATAACAATCACGGAATGTGAGATCACGAGCATACACAAAGAGGTATTTGTCTCCGTCTATCCATTTCCACGATAAAGTCTAATGGATGTGTGACTCGATTTGAACAACACATTCTATGAAACCAATTACGAATGCAAGTCCGTTAATTATATATATATATATATATATACCATGTTCGTCTAAGAGTAAAAGTCAAAATTGAGGGCCGGGTGTATTATAGGTCCATTAACAGTCACAGAAAACATGATTTATTAATTGCCTTGCGACATTAATTAATTACAAACGAACCGGAATTCCTTGTAAGCTAAGGACACTTCATCCACGCAAATTCTAAACTGGTTAAAGCATCAATACTTTTAAAAAACGGGGTTAAAATAAAAACCTTCAGTGTCATTAGATCGGGATTTTTGTCAGGTAATTAAATAGAGCGAGTTTTCTAGACAGCGCAACCGTGAAGCTAACTTATGCGTTATGGTTTGGCTTGTCCAGACAGGAAGCATAACTAAACCCCTCAGAAAATTCCGCGCTCCCAGTAGAACACTCATGAAACTGTATCGAATAAAGAAGTCAGAATCACACAAATACACACTGACACTCATGAATATTTTCTATGCCGATTAATATCGAGTAAAGAATAATTTTTTAACGTGCGATGTCGACTAGCCGGTCACGGTAGCCGAGTGGTCTAAGGCATGTACTGTCTTCGCTCGCTCGGAAGCCGGGATCGTGGGTTCGAATCCCACAGAAGGCAATGTTGCTTGATATGTCTATGTGTTTATTCTGTGTTGGTGTTTTCCTGTGTTTAAGCAGAGGCCTTTGACGAAATGATCACCCGTCCAAAGAGTCCTACCGTCTGCAAAATGGTCAAAATGAAAAAAAAAACAACCTCGACACCGTAAACGTATGAAAGGAACGGAGTAAGTAAGTGTTACAGCCTGCCATCATGTTCTCACTGTGTTATGCAGCTTATCCTGTCTGTCTCTGTTCTATGAGCATGTGATTCAAAACAAAATCTCACTTAAAATATCCGAAGGAGTCAAAGAGCAAATATGTGTACTCAAAGAAGTGTTACATAATGTGACTTACGAGTTAGAGAACTCAAAATGGTTGTAAAAATATTATTATATATTATACATATTATACACTGTCACTTGCAATTTAAAACCCAATATGACTTAACTATCTCAAGGAGCGACACAGCGTATACGAGTGGACATACTCAAAGGAGTCCTACATGTGACCTATGATTTACAGAACCCAAAGTGGTTGACAAAATATTGTTAGTAGGTGCACGAATGAACTACCTTCTATATTTCGAAACTTGTCAAGTTAGACTTTGAAGAAAATCGTCCCCATCTTCAATTTCAAAATGATAATTTGAACACATGTTTCAACTGACAATTGAACCAGAAGCTATGAATAGAGTGAAATTCAAGGCACTCTTTTTNAACAAATCCGACTTCACCAGACACAGGATCGAACCCGGGCCGCCGTGGTGGGAAGCCAGCGACTAACGGCATGAGGTATGGCGCGGCCTGAAGGTACCCTTACACGCAGGCTAAGAATATTATGTACAATTTCAAGCTACAGTACGTTTCACAAGTTTGCGAACTGATTTCAACAACAGAACAAGATGTTTTTGAGTAATTTCAAATATTGTAAACAACTTCGTGAATTTTGAGGATGTATGGTGAAAATTAGGAATAAAAGTGAGCATATTAGTGCAGTGGGGGCCTGCAGCTCTGCTTACACAATAAACAGTCAAGAATTTTCTTGGTATTGCACAGCGGCAGTACACGTTTTGCGGCAGCCAATACGGGGTTATGTAAGCTTAACAAAGGAACCCAGTTGATACTTGAAACATTTCCTGCAACATCTGCGGCACCTGAATAGCGTGTAAAGAATATAAAAGACACAATTTCCGTGGAATTTAAAGTTTAACTTATATTAAATATGGAGATGGACGAAATGTGGGCACGTTCAGTCACAGGAAGCAATAATTGAGCATATGTGCAGCCCTAATTTCGAGTCAGCTATTGAATGCTGCTTCTTAAACAAGAGGATCGTGATCACGCTATTAAACCAATGCACCAGGCAGGTGTGAACTGAACTTCGCCACTGGAATATTGAGAAATATACGCGCGCCTTTGAATACACAAACACGTATATAACAACATAGACATGTAGAATGGGAGTTGCGTAGAAAGTATATTAATATACACGACAAATTAAACTGAGAAGACTAGTGTTTGCAGCAGTCAACTCTAAACTGCGGAGATTAGCGGTAGCCCTGTATTACTTGTAATTATAAGTTGAGTGTATAAGTTCAATAAACTAAAACATCTAATCCATACAGCTTCTAATAGCCACCACTGCACGTGACAATATTTCCAGTTTCTCACAATATCTAACATTACGGGTTCATAATTATTTGTTATGATTTTGCCTATAATTTTATTATAAATTGTCTAAAAATAATTCTTTTTAATTTTCAAAATAGTCTAATTCTAATATTCTTATTCCCAATGTCTTATATAATCCACTGAGTGGACTAAACAGGCAATAAAATGAATTATATTCCCATTACACAATTATTCACTCGCGTTTTCCAGTTGTAACATACAGACGCATATGGTACAATGAGAGAAAAAGAATGCACACACGAGTAGAACTACGGTGGGGAAGCTAGAAGGAAATAGAGAATTAGGAAGTCCTAGACTCCGGTGGGAAAATAATATTAAAATGTATCTCTGAGAAATAAAGTGGGATGGTATGGACTGAATTCATTGATCCAGGATAAGAGCCAGTCGAGGGATTTTGTGAACACGGTAATAAAACTTCGGTTTCCATAAAA